TTCTATTAAATTGAGGCAATCAGAATCCAGAATTCTAATTGATGTAATCAGATTTTCCTGAGAAATTCGTTCATCATTTCAATTGGATTTTTTTCTCGGTGCGTTTTCTTGTTTTTCGCGAGGACATTTCTCGCAAGCATGTGACCCGGTAATTTTGAAGTTTTGGCCGCGTGTTTGATTCGGACGTATGTTTGATGTTTAATCCTCTCCAGGTATAACGGCTTGTCAGTCTGCCTGTGTGCATTGAATGTTGCGTTACACGCTATGCATTGGCATTGGTGTGCGTAAACTCCACGCTGCTGGTTACTCCGTCAGGCGAGTCCATCGTTCTTCTTTTCCAAGCGTGAGGAAAGATGGCCGCCCGTGCGAGCTGCACGGTTCGCGTCTCTTTCTTTCCCTTTCCCTCTCCCTCCCCCCCTCTCTCTCTCTCTCTCTTTCTTTCTTTGTGCAGTTAGACGAGACGCAGACGTCGACTGGCAAGACAGTTTTAGAGAAAGTTGGAGCGAGGAAAGGATATATCGAGTACATAATGAAGGGCACATGTTCGCCGGACAGTAATTTTTAGAATAGTAAAACGCGTTATAAACTCTCGACAACAATTTTTAGAGACTCGAGTGGCGAATCGCGTTAACTAAAGGTCTATACTGGAGATGATGATTACGAATCTTATATACAGTCGGAGATTGAGAAATGAATGTTGTCACATAATACATTTGTGTTTCGTATCTTAATTAATATAACACGAATGATTAATAATGCGTTGTGTGTGTAACGATAGTAATTTTTAATTAAATTTAATTTAATGTCTCTATAAATCACAGATAAACTTTCGGACATTTCAGATTATACACGGAAAGAATGGTTTTGCTAAAGTATCTAAAAGTTTAGCTAGATACAGATCTGAAAATAATTTTGTTCAACCATCTAAATAATTAGGACGCTTAAACTGGTTGCAAGAATGTCAAAAGTTTTCGCAGCGTGTTTCCTCATCATGCTTGAGATTCCTACATTTAATTATTTTGATAGTCTAACAAAATTATTTTCAGATCTGTACTTTAGCTAAATTTTCTAAATACTTGAGCAAAATTATTCTTTCCGTGTAGTTTTATAAAAAAAAATTTTACGAAATTAACACAACGTTGATTGGAAATTCTTTCGAATTCGATTGGAATCGGAATTCTAATTTTAGATTTGATATTTCAACTTGACGTTGGACTTGACGCCTTGTTATTCAATAAGAAACGAGTTTTGCCATAATATTGAGCGATCAGTTACGATGACAAAGTTGACTCGTTTTCGCATGGGATATACACTTACTCGTAAAACGACGATGGTTTTGCCATGGCAAGCTCACGGCAAGCTCACGGCAAGCTCACGGCAGAGTTCTTTCCTTTCCCAAGTTCCGTAGCTTTCTCTCTACACCGGATATAGGTCTCGGGTCTCGCGCTGACGTCTAACGTCTAACGTCTAACGTCTAACGTCTAACGTCTAGCGCCGATACGCGCAGCGGCATCGCCCTTAATTAATTTATTTTTTCCCCATTTCCGCGCGTTTGTCACGGTCGTCTCCCTTGCGCATATTTCCACTTCGCTTTTATAGACATTTTATATAGGACTCTGAGATATCGATCCTGCATGCGTTCCAGTACAAAACGGCCGAAGAGACGGAGACGTCGAGAGTGGGAAGCGACGAACTAGAAAGGGATGATATACGGAGGGAAAAGCATGGAAACGAACGAAGGGACTGGAGAACGAAGAGAGAAAGAGATAGACAGAGAGAGACAGAGAGGGAGGGGGAGATGGAGGGAAAGAGAAAGCGAAAAGGGATATATGGAACGAAGGCGGAAAAGATTCTCTTGTCGATTCGCATTTGTTACATGAAAATTCTTCCAACGCGAATTACGTTCTGTCCGAACAATTGTCCACCGGGCGCGCAGAGAATGAATCGCCAGTTTTAATTTCGGACGTGGATTCGAAGGCAAATTCCGTAATTTCATCGACCAATACGCATTCTGCCGCTCGAGACATGGTCAGCGGCTGCATTTCCGAAAAATATCGCTTATGAAAATATATGAAAATGCTATAGTATATGTATATATATATATATATATA